AACTATTGTTATCAAAACCAGACCCGACCAGCTGGTTCGACTGAAAACCAAACTATGGTCCGATTCAGGTTGCGCAAAAAAATTGGATGTCTTAAAAACCGATTTGAACCAAATAAAAACAGATAAAACCGGTGAATCAAACAGGTTAAAAATTAGTTTGATTCAATTTTTGGATATTTTCATAAAATGTGGCCTGTTTTAAAATTTAGGCCTCCTAAAAATTGAGCGCAATGATTTTTTAATTTTTGGGCTCTTTATTTCTAAACATAAAGTCCTATTATATTAATTAAAATAATTAAATTGTCCAACTTTAACCACATATGAAAAATAATAACATATCTTATGATAATTAATTAATTTTTTTAATATTAAATTTATTTATACTTTATTCTTTTTATTTAAAATTATTTACTAATTTTTCATTCTTTTTGTAAAAGTCAAATTTGAAATTATTTTTTATTTCATATCAAAGTTTTTTTACCTACATTTTAAATTTTATTTAATAAATATATTTAAAAATATTATATATAAAAATTTGATTGAACTGTATTAAATTCAGTCAAATCCTTTAGTTTAACGAATTTATTGATTGGTCGTCAAAATAGATAATCTCCAAAAATTAATCACGTTTATCATAGTTTTGAGTGAAAATGACAAATGTCACTTAAATAAGAGTTGGAATATTTGATCCGTGAGTCGAGAAAATTTATACTGTGAGCACTAGTAGTACCTGACAAGACCCGAGAGAATTATAGCCAATGAATTTGAGGCACATGGTATAAATAAAGAGAAAATTAATCACTTTTTGTCTTTCTTTAAATAACTCTTACTTTTATCCTTTGACAACATAGACGAATAATGTTCCTGCAATCAGTAAGCGAGCGGACCCTACAAACTGCAAAGAATATAAAAATAATTCATAATACTGAGATAATTAATTAGCCTGTTTTTCATATAAAGTTCATTTTGATTGAGATTTTTTAATTCATTAAAAAATGATTTCAGTATTTATGGGCTTATGGGTAAACATTCTTGTTGGAATTCCAAGGTCTCAAATTGATTGTAGCCTTGTCTTATTTTCATACATCCAGATCCAGGTGATTATAAAAAATTTATTAATTAATTTTAATTCTAAAAAAATAACAATAAGTAATAAAACTACTCTTTAATTTCTAAAATAACTAATGAAATGGAACTACATACTGTGGGTCAGTTGGCAATACAGACTGACATGTAAAAAGAGCTCTCAGGTTTGATTGCCATTAAACGCACTTATAAGAAGGGACAAAGAGTTTTAACTGTGACTAAGGCTAAAGTCGAATTAGACTATTTTGGTAATAGAGTTCGAATACCGGTAGTTTAAAAAAAAAACAAATGAAATGGAATAAAAAATATTTTTAAAATGATAATTAAAAAGAAACAAAGAGAATATTCTATCATCATCATCATTATTTATTATTATTATTATTATTATTTTATTTCATGTTGTTTCTTGAAAGGCAATTGAATTGATATACAGGACTATAAAATTCAAAGTTTCAACACTCACAGGTTTATTTCATGATTCAAATGTGGGCTGCCAGGCAAAGGATGTAACTTGACTTTAGGACAAATCTTTAGGTTTCATACTTCCGTTAATTAATTAATCAATATTAATACTTGCCACTTGATTGGCTTAACCAGCTATATAGTTAGGTAAACTTGTCATTAGTTAGGGATAAAATGACTTTTCATTCCATAAAAATAATTGATTTGACATAAATTGAAAAATTATTATTATTATGGCTAAACAATAATCTGTGCTTGACTTTTTTTCTTAATTAAAAAATATTGAAGCTATAATTTAATTAATTATTTATTTTAAGATTTGATTAATATCAACAATAATACATTTGAAGCTAAAATAGGAAAATGCAAAGATTATGCTCTGAAAAGATAAATCGGACTATAATTTGAAGTGGAAAAGAAATATGAGATTTCAATCATACTGTATATTATATTAGATTTTATCATTTTTATTCAACTAAAAATAAGTTATTTAAGATTTGTGAGGAGTGAGAGTTCTCGAGCTTGAGTTCGAATTCTCAAAAGTTATCACCAATTTAGTGAATATTATTCAAAGGGTAGTGCTATTCCCGTCGGATTATATTGAATTATTTGTTATTTTTTAATAGTTTTTAAATTAAAGAGACATATAAAATTATGTGTGTGTATAGATAGTTCTCCGTGATTAAAATTTGGTATCTTTTTATAATATGTAACCTATGAAAGTGAAAATGGAAAAATAATTAAATGGACAAACAGTTTTGGTAATATATCATCGTAATAATAGATGTTAAATATTAAATAATAATAAAAGTATTTAAATAACAATAATAATTCTATTTTGGAAAATTAAAAATAATTTGGCGATTTATTATTATGACACTGAAGGTTAATTATTAAAAAATAATAAAAATAACTCTATTGTGGAAGATTTTAAAAAGTGTATTATTTTGCAATAATCCTTCCCATTGTTGAATAATGATGAACTAATGGAATAAAAGAGAAAAAAAAAAAAAAACAAAAAAGAAAAAGATTTTAAAAAGTGTAAGTTAATTTTGCAATAAATCTTCCCATTTGTTTGAATAATTGATGAACTAATGGAAATAAAGAGAAAAAAAAAAAAAAAAAAAAAAAAACAAAAAAGAAAGAAGAACGTCAACTTGCTCTACTTATCAAGATTATCATATCAATTTCAAATTTTTTTAAGTAAATTATACTTGCACGAGGTATTCATACCCATGTCCATTTAACAGTCCACAAATCTAACTAATCCCCGCTCATTCTTAAAGGCAAAGGGGCTAGTTCAGGGGAGTTTGCATTGCGAATTTATTTTTTTCTTAGTTAGTTAGAAGAAATTATTTTTAATCGAGGTAATTGCCTGTCTTATAAATAAAGAGAGGGGCATGAATTTAATTTTTTTTTCCATAAAGAATCAAATAATGAAAAAACAAGAGAGAACTACAAGGGAAACAATATATATTCCCATTCATTAATAGTATAAAAACACAAACTTCCTGTTTTGATTTGATTTGATATTAAAGGAAAAATATGTCATCTTGCTCAAATTGTTAAGAAATCCAAAATATTATTTCTGATTTCCATAGCAGAATATCATATTAACTTGATATTTATTATTTTCCTATTGTGAAAACTTCCTAAACAATTGTATGGTGCCAGAAATCTATATAATGTGCCTAAATGGTTGAGTTGATCCACCATTCTTAACATGTTCTTTCTTTTACAGATTCTTAATCTTAATAGCTTAAATCTGTTTCTCTTTTACATGTATGTATATATTTATATATCAGACTTCTATAATGGGAGCTGGCTATGATTGTGACTCAGAATCAAAAGAAAATAATGAAAAGAAAATGAAGGAGATAAAGAGAGGGACAAGAAGATACTGCAATGTCAAAACTGAAGAATGTTTTTATTTTATTACTATGTAGAAATTACAGCTGATGAACAAGTGCATAGATTGAGAAACAATGCACCTTCAGAATTTCGACAATGCCCGCAAAGCTTCATTGACTGAGAAGCATGGGCTTTTTCAGTTATTGGATTTTGTCTCGGTCAAATATGTGCGACTACTACTAGTACTTACTACTTGTGCTGATGATCGAAAACAAACTGCAAATTCCTTTTGCTTTGAGGAGTTTAACAGAAATTATCGAAAAGGCTTCTAAATTGGACATCTAAATTGTAAAGTTACGTGTAATTGATCGTTTTGGAATTCAATGTAGTTTTATTTGGAATATGTATGTACAGATTATAAATCTTTGAAATTGCTAGTATATGTAAAAGCAGCAAAGCAATAAATTTTCTCATTTTTTAATAAAAATGTAGAAAAAAGAATGTTAATTTGAGTTTTTCTAAATAGCAGTTGTGGAGTGGAGTGGATCACTATGTTTTAGTCATGGGCTCGATCCTCTGCAATTTAAATTTTTTTTAGGTCAATCCTTTTACCTCTGACGGCGATTGTAAATTAATACCGTGAACCCTTGAAATTGATACAGAGATATAAAAAAAGTTATTTAAAGAAAATGATTATATATATCTCTATTTAGTTTATAATACTATTTCAATCAATTTAATTTACAAATGAATAAAAAGAAAACAAGAAAGGCACAAGCCGTTGGATTTTTGGAATCTTGGCGGTGTAAAGTGTTACGAGTTGGACTAAAAGCGAAAAAAAAAAAAAACGTAAAATAAGCAAAGCCGTTAGAATCATTAGTTGGATGATAATAATAATAATAATAATAATAACTTCCATGTTGACATGATTGACCAAAGTTTTGCCAACAACTTGCTAGGCTAAGCAGACTTGGTTAACCTACCGAATTGGTTAGATTTTAATTTATTAGATTCTATTTTCAACAGAAAAAAAAAAAAAAAAAGGGTTTTGGTTTAATTAGATTCTATTTCCCATACAGAAAAAAAAAAAAAAAAAGGTTTTGGCTGACTTTTCATGAACATAAAAAAAAAAAAAAAAAAAAAGGGTTTTGGCTGACTTTTATGAACATAAAAAGTGAGTTTAAAAATCAGTTGAACTTAATTAAATTAATCGAATCGAACATGTTTGGTTTAATTAGTTACGATTTTCATTTAGAAAAGTTAAGTTTATTTGGCTAGCATGAGTTAACCAAACCCATCGAAGACTTTACCCTACAACTTGCTTATAGCATTCAACCATATTGGTTGTATCGTGTACAGAAACAGTGGCTTAGAGCTGGATTTGTTTGACCTTATGTCCTGGTTTTTACATTGTCTATTCTCAAATTTTGACATGGGCCTACTGGGACACGTTTTAGCCCACTAGGCCCATTATCATGGTTTCATTAACTAACTGTTTAATTATTTATCCCTGATTAGGCTCCTGGATTAAGAACAAATGATTCCTCTAACTCCCAAATTATAATTATATAATTATTGACAGAAATTTTAATGGAGTTCTCTTCAATTTTTCACAGGTTTGTCCATTATAAAACTATTTTAAGTGTGATTATTTATGTTCATTTAGCTTAAAATAAATATACACCTCGACATAATTGTAAGAGTAACTAACATTCTTCCTATATGCTCTCTACAACATACTCCAAATGCTTTGGAGAGACCTAAAATTGGTATTCACAGCTCCCATCGTCACTCCTAGCCGTTGGATCGAAGTTTTTAGCCGATGAATCAGTACAACCTTCAGGAACTGGAACGTTAACTTGCTGTGCTGCTTTGCCTGCATCCAAATTATGAACATAACTCTACAATTATTTCTCAGATCTTTATTCGCAATAAAATCATAAAACCATATTCAGACCTTCCTCATGAAGGCCTTTTTAGGATGAAGGGGTCTGACCATAGAAGGTTCCATTCTTCACTGCATCTTCATTTGCATCTCCAAGAGCTGCTTCTTTCAAGTACTTGTCAGCTAATTGGACTCTCTTAACATTCTCCTGTTCTTGAACAAGCATGTTTCCATATTCAAGAAGCTTGTCCAGGCTCATCTTCGGTTGATCGAAAGTTGGAGGTCCCTCTTTCGAGTTCACTAGCCTTCTTCCAATGTTTTCTACGCCTATACCCGAAATCCATTTCCTTACTTCGTCATCATACACTCTTGCTCTGACTGCACCAAAGAAATCTACAGCAAACATAGTGATTGATATCCTGAAAAACCAAAGCCTCATATTAAACAAAAAAGAAGCAAGAAACTTACCAATTGATTGACCGGGGAAGGTGTCAACAAGCTTTACAATATCCTCCTTTGGCACATTATCAGACCTAAAAATCCCTGTGCACACACCGATCCTGTCTTCTCGAGTGGGAGCCCAGTAGAATTTCTCCATACGACCATCACGAATGAGAGGAGCATACAATGTTGAGAAATCATTGCCAGTAACAATAATGGGAACGCGAGGGTTCTCCTCCTTGTTGTACATACCAGGGAGCTGCACATTAGTGGGATTATCTGCAATGTTCATCAAAGTAGCATTTACCATTTGATTGTTGACTGTGTACTGCGTAGTTCCACCCATTCTACCGGCCCCGGCATCTAAGTCATTGATGAAAAGGCAACACATCTTTCCCTTCTTAATTATGTCTGCTGCCTCGCGATATCTTTGCCTGATCAATTTTGCAGGCTCTCCTGCATTCCCACTTTCTAATTCTCCAGCACTCATCATGATTGGACTGAAAAAAATAATATTCACGAGCACAATGTCAATCATTACGAAAAAGGGTTTAAAAAATTATATCTAATGACGTTAATTAATTGGGGAAAATAACATCAACTCACTTGATTCCCATTTTGGCAAACACAAGCTCACACTGGAATGATTTTCCTTGACCTTTACCTCCCCAAATCCCCAAGATCAAAGGAATCTGTACCAGTTATTCACACATCATTTAACTAGATCTTTTCCAATTTGTCAAAATCTAACCAGTAATTAAACAAAATTTGATGTACAATTCTTTAAAAAAAAAAAAAAAAAAAATACAAAATTTACATGTACACATTCTTTAAAAAAAAAAAAAAAAAAAAAAGAGTCATTTTACTAAAACTAACCTTAATTTAGGGAAAAAAAAAAAAAAAAAAAAAAGAGTCAGTTACTAAACTAACCTTAATATTAGGGAGGTTCAAAAAATTCTTGGTAATGTGTACAACCACCTTATCCATAAATGCAGGTGCAATGTAGAAACCATCCATATTGTTATCCAAATTATACCTATAAATCAGCAAAAAAGGAATTCATATTCAAAAAAATGATAAATTTAGTACTGAATCAACTGCAGGACTATAAGATTGCATTTTCAAAGCCGAGAAAGCTAATCAATCAATAAATAAATAAAGCTACTTACTGTCGAAGACCTTGGCTTATATAATCATATGAACTCAACACTGCATAATGAGTTCCAGATTCCATAGGAGCTTGGAATAAAGTATCAACCATTCCTTTTCCTCTAGTAATGTCCTGTTGATCATCCGACATGTCATAAGCAAGACCTCCCCATCTGTCTTTAGAAGTCTGTTTCTCCTCATTATAATCTGCAGCAGAAACCTTGAATTTCCCTGATAAAACCCTCTTGCTTTTGATTTTTGGGTTTACATTCTTCAAGCTACTTCCAAAAAATGATGGGCTAGGTACTGAAGGTCCTCCTGCACCTGCACCGTTCAAATTCAACTGCAAGAAAGAACCACAAGATTTTACAGAAATTACAAATTCCATAGCTTCAATAACCAAAAATGAAAGCAATTATAAATACAAAGAGAGAGGCGATGAAAACAAGAAGAATAAATTAACAGAGAGTAAAAAAGGCGGGAAAATCAGAGTACCGCTGCTCTGTTAACAGCTCCAATGGTGGAGAGTGAAGTAGCCATTGATCCAAAGGCGGACATTGGAATAGTGGGTAGTTGGGTTTTTAGAAAGAAGACGACGAAATGGGGAGAGAAGGGTGCTTTGGATGGATTGTGTTCGAGATGGGCATAGAGATGAGACCTTTGATTGGGAATTTATAGAAGGCGAGGTTTTTGGAGTGCGCACTGAGTTATCAGTTTCTGTGGATTGGCTTACGAATTCCTAACGGCCACACAAATGGAACTTTGGTTTCATTATGTGGCGTGTTTGGGTGAGGTGGACGTTGGTTTTTGTTTGGTGGCATGGATTAGTAGAGTTCAGTTAAGACATGTGAGTGGAACGTGATTATATTTATTTTTTCTTTATTTTCCTCGCCCAGGCTCACAAAAATAATAAAATTTTTATGGTAATAAACAATCGGAACCCATCTTTTACATTTATATAAAAAGCGAAAAAATAAAATAAAATTACGTAATAATATAAAATTTTAGTTTTTTTTAACTTATGAAAAAAATTAAAGATTTTTATATCATAAATTTTTATTCTATTAGATAATCAAGTGTTTGTGGGCTTAAATATGAGGTCCTTTTAAATATTCGGTAGAAAGTATTTTATCTCTTTTATGAACTCATGAATTTGGATTATTTAGGGTGCACTATTGGGTGATTAAAAACCAAAACAAAATTTTGTATCAATTTACTTTCAGGATTATTATTTTATTTTATCCTTACATTATTTTAAAAATATATTAATTTTTCTCTATGTTTTGCATCCATATACTATTTAGACATTCTGTCAATTTTTTTTTTTTTTTGGTCAGTACTTATAATACTACTTAAAAAAAATAATTTATTTGTCTTTCTATTTTGTAAAAAAACTAACTGATTTATGCTTATATTTTTGTATTTTTTTAATAGAAAAAGGACACAAAATAAAAAGGAGAACAAAATAGTATAAAAAATGCAGTAACCAACATTAGTGTTATTTTAAAAAATACACGAAGAAACTTGCGTATTTTAACAAAGTACAAGACAAAATAGTATTTTCAAAAAAAAAAAAAATTATGAACACCCCAAATATCAAAAGGGAAAAAAAAAAAAATCCCAAAAAGATAGAGAACAATTTATTACAAAACAAAATAGGGGCTTCTGGGAGGTGTTTGGATTTGAGAAATTGAGGTTAGGGCTTAACTCGTTTGTTATCCACAAAGGCTGCAACTAATTTTCTGCCATGAAAAATAAAAATAAAATTAATTTAGGGAAGAGGATAGATAAAAGAAAAACATTGCACATCCAGAATCTTCTGGGTTCTTAGTAGAGGGATATGTAAAATCAAACCTTCTGGTTCTGGGTGAAAATGAAGTTGACCTCCACGTGGCAGATTGCTATCCAATGGAAATGTATTTGTCATTTAGCGTTACAGACGTCAGATTATAAAAGGTGAGGTGAGAATTATTTTCATGGAATACTGTGTTGTACAGAAAATAATTGAGGTGTCACTATCAAGTCCGATCATATAGGGGAGCATTAATGCAATATGTTGATTCGCTTCAAATGCAATCGAATTAATATAAACTGAATAATAAGTCATTTTTTAACTGAAAAATAAAATTAATTCGATTTGTTTATAAAATTAAATTGGATTGAACTGACTGATTAATTTAATTATTTGATTAAATCAATTTAGTTATAATCTATATATATATATATATATATATGCGCTGAACTAAAAATATTTTAAAAATGTTAACTTTTTAACTTTTTATTTACTTTTCTTACAAATTTTTGGATTTTTTTTTTATTTATTTATATATTTAATAATTTCAAAGTTGTTTATTGTAACATCCCAAGCTCTACCGAGATATTGTCCGCTTTGGGCCCCAGGCCCGCACGGTTTTGTTCCTGGGCCAGGGAACCACCTCCTAGCCCAAAACGCCGAGATATGTCCGCTTGGGCCCCAGGCCCGCAGGTTTGTTCCTGGGCCAGGGAAACCACCTCCTAGCCCAAAACGCGTCTCAGGAACTCAAGGCCTGCTACTCCTTATGTACATCACTTCCACCTTGTGCTTAGCCGATGTGGGATTTCGCCTAAGGTGCAGTCCCTGACAGGCTGTTTGAATATAAAATGGACTAATTTAATTATGGATTGTGTGCATATTGTTTCATATTCTTTGCTTATTAACGGAGAGCTTGCGAAGAAATTTTACCCGCAGAGAGGTCTTCGCCAAGGAGATCCGTTGTCTCCATATCTCTTTGTTATTTGTATTAAAGTGTGTTTAGGTCTAATTTCAAAAGCTGAGTAGGCAGGAAGACGGAACGAAATTTGTATTTTGTTGGGATTCTGAAAGGCCTGCTACTCCTTATGTACAGTACTTCCACCTTGTGCTTAGCCGATGTGGGATTTCGCCTAAGGTGCAGTCCCTGACATTTATATTTTGAGAAAAGAATTTTTTAAATATATAAATATATATATATAATTCTTTTCTCAAAATATAAACAACTTTGACATTATTAAATTTTTAAAATTTAAACTTTAAAACTTTTTGAGTTTTTTTTATCTCTATCTATTGGCACGATCAGTTTCCATGAGCTGGATCGACATTAGGGCCCAGATAAATTTAAAACTTCTGAAGCCCGTAGTAAGCTAAATTACAAAGTCCGTACACATCAAATGGATTTCTAGAAATAGTAAGTCTACATATTTTACATATAAGTCAAGTAATTGCTTTTCCCTAGCTCTAACTTAAATATCTCAAATTAATTCACAATTTGGGCCTTTATACAACAAATAACATCTATAATGTGGTTAACTGTTCCATTCATCCATTAAGACCAATGCTTAAACATTCTTAAGTTCATAGGATAAAATGCTCTATTAATATAAGTCTAAAAGTATATAAATCCTATAACTGCGGACTTCAATATCAATTAGAATAAATAAATTCTTGTACACTCACAATTACACTAATTACTGGAATTAAGAAATTTCTTTTCTAGCTCTGCGGGGAAGTTCCAAGGTTAAACGTGCTTGTTTAAAGGAAATTCTAAGATAGGTGACCACCTGGGAAGTTTCCCATTTCATCTATAGGATAAAACCGTGCGGATCCTGCCAATTCAGTATGGGATGGATTCGCCTTGATCCAAAGCGGACAATTCCTTTAGTAGTTGGAGTCGGGTGTGACATCTATATACCTATATCTATCTATAATTACCCCTATACAATAATTTTCTTTCACAACGGCTTTTTTGTTTTATTTTTTTTTTTGTTGCCTCTTTCAATTATTTTACTTTCAATTCTTTGTGTTTTGATTGCGTTGTGTTTATTTATTTATTTTTGTTGATATATATGTTATTGTTGTTTTTAGATTTTAAATAGTAAAAATATAACAATATTAACTCTCTGATCAAGATATATCATCATCTTTTTCAACTGAGATAATTAATTCTCTAATTTCTTTTTTCCATTCTTTATCTTTTTCTATTTATGGAAGGGACTTTTTATGGATTTCTCTATTTTATTTATTTATTTGCATGTCATATTTCTTTGTATTTGAAAATTTAATAAGAGGACCACAGACTCAATATTAATTATTTACTTTGTACTTTTTCACAAAATAATATTTTGTCTTCTTAATTTTTATATTTTCGAGAATAGTATTTTTAAAGATTTTGATATTTTTGGTTATTATTTATCACTCTCATATAATTATTGTTTATTATTTAGAAGTATAAGCATTCTTTCATAAAAAAAAAAGTATAAGCATTCTATTCTTTTTAGGAAATTACTGAAATTTTTGTTTACTGTTTAACTGGATAATATATATAGATATATAATTAAAACCTAAAAGTTAAGTCTTTAAAAATTTTGAATTCAATTTTTTTTAATTAAAAAAAAAAGTATAAGCATTCTATTCTTTTTAGGAAATTACTGAAATTTTTGTTTACTGTTTAACTGGATAATATATATAGATATATAATTAAAACCTAAAAGTTAAGTCTTTAAAAATTTTGAATTCAATTTTTTTTAATTAAAAATATATATAGATAGTTAACACTTTGTTTTATATAAAACTTTTTTATTTTTAATCTATTTAAGTTCTATTTATTAAATTAAATTAAAATCATTTTTATTTGAAATTATTATATATATTAATTTTTAATTTTTAATTTTTCTATATTTTCTATGTTTTATAATAATTAAATAAGTAATATTTTCTATATATTATCCATATTAAATTATTTGAATCATAAAAATTTATAGAATTATCTACGCTACTATATGGTGTTTAAATTGTTTAAATTATCTATTTAGAATTATCTAAACAGGATATAAAATTTTATAATTATTTAAATTATTACAATCTCTATAATATGCTAATTTAATAATGCAACATGAGGAAAAGTAGATATTTTAATAATATATTAAAATACAATTTATAAAATGTAATATACAACAATAAAGTAATCAACCCGCGCAAAGCACGGGCCTTCAACCAATTAAACATAATAGCTCTCCATCTCTTATAGTTTTGAGATTTTAAACATAATAGCTCTTTAATTCTATGACTTTTAAGTATTTGGGCTTTTGACAAAAATTAATGCTCTTCAAAAAACTATTTCTCAATTTAATCTCATTTCAAAACTATTTACCAATCTAATGTTTGTCCTCACACGGAGAGAGAGTGTTGCACTAAAATCACCAATTGAGTTGGTGGTTTTAGTGCAATAGAAAAAGTAACGCGTACGTGAAAAAATAATAATTTTTATTTTGCCTTGAGATGACCAATCCAATTGGTGGTTTCAATACAAAATGAAAATTTTAAGTTGTCAATTTACCTTTTCACTAAAACACACATTTCATTTTGTGGTTTTAGTGCAACTATGAGATGTGACTACTAGTCAGCAGAAAATACATAGAGAATAGTGTTTTGTTAAGAGTTCACCATTTTAATTAGCAGTTTATAAAAAAAAAAATTTATTTACTCAAAATATTTTTTTCACCAAAACACACATATGATCTGGTGGTTTTGGTGCAACATATTTCCATAGTTGGAGTCCTTTTCCAGTGTCAAATTAGCCTTCACCTTCCAATAAAGAATATCCTTACCACTAGTCAATATATTGGTGTTAGTTACAGAGACTTTATTTGGGCAAGCCATGACAAAACAAACATATGATCTGGTGGTTTTGGTGCAACATATTTCCATAGTTGGAGTCCTTTTCCAGTGTCGAATTAGCCTTCACCTTCCAATAAAGAATATGCTTACCACTAGTCAATATATTGGTGTTAGTTACAGAGAATTTATTTAGACAAGCCATGACAAAACACAATACTTATGATAGATTGAAAGGGTGCAGGAAATCAATTCCTTATAGGATTCCCTTATTCACTCTACTCAGCTTTTCTTATTAAAAGGGAAATAACTCATTAGTACCATTGAATTGCTTCCATTTTTTTTTTTTATCTAGGAGATGCACTTGGAACTCATTAGTACCATTGATTTGCTTCCACATTGTAGAATGTTATCAACCTGATCGTTTCGTCCAACAGTTCAAGATGGATCAACCTATACCCGTGGCACCATACCAGGATGATACGCTGCATTCAATTGACTTACGAAGTTATATTGATAATGATTGAGAGCACAAAAATCAATCATTCATTCAAAGCACGGAACAATCGTCTCTCTCATATAGTTTCATCTCGTCCACTCCAAGCACCTTTAGGCCCTCACTCAGAATATATGCAATGTATGTGCAACGAACTTGGATTTCATCTCGAGGTGTAGAAGTTGGAGTTGCGGTAATTATTCAATATCTTTTTATCTTATCTTATAATTTCTTAACCTAATTGAATAATAAATTTTGCTCTTATTTCTATAATATATATTTTTTTGATACAGGCAGATGGGTTTCAACATATATATCACAGTTCAACATCACCAACACGTAGAAATCCATCATTCCGTCAAAAATTATTGAGCCTATTCGGTGCAAGAATGAGGAAATTTGTACTAAAACTCATCCTATGCTTCAACCTGCCCCTCCATCTATAGAGTTTCCTCGTGTTCAAACACCCAAAGAACTACAAAGGTGAAGGAGATGTGAAATGATATCTAGACGTATTCCAATTGAAGCCCTGCCAGTAGATAATATACCTCAAGTCCCTCCTCCTATGACATATAATTATTACGAAGATTATCGCGCTAATATGACTAGGACATCATCTTCTGCACCACAACCTAAGTGGAGTGTGCCATCTACAGCGTTAGAAATCCTATCGAATACTCATTACACTCCAATGATAGCACCCAGCAAACCCATACTTCTTTCTCCGAAATAGGCGAGACAACGTCATTTCAATATACAGTACCTGCTTTCAATACTTCTGCGGCATCTTTCGGTACACGTGATATATCTACATCTTATGCTAGACACTCATTTAATGATTTCTGTGAGATGATAATGGTACCCAATCAACAGACTCATCTGACATTTTCTAGCTTGTAACAACCATCTATGAATATGGTTCAAGCTCCTTGCATAAGTATTGATATAAATATTAAACATGGAGAAGAATATCAAGGTATCAGAGAAGATACAGTACGCCGAAATCCACATCGTAATAGGAGGCCCCCAAGGTGTGGTACAGGAGGACATGTGGATGACATTAATATGATTAATTTTCCATGTATTAGTTATTAAGACATTTTTAATATAATACAAGTTCAACTCGAAGTATTTTATTACTCTTGAAAATTTTAATTCTGTAGGAAAACCTATGTTGTTATTACTTAACTTAAAATAATTGTGAACCAAAACCATCAGATCATATGTATGTTTTAGTGAAACAATATTTTAAGTAAATAAATACTTTTTTTTTATTGAAACCACTAATTAACCTGGTGGACTCTTAACAAAATACCTTTTTCCCATGTACTTTTTGCTGACTAGTGGTCACATATCATAGTTGTACTAAAATCACCAAATGAATTGTTTGTTTTAGTGAAAAGGCAAATTAACAACTTAAAATTTT